CTGTTCAGTGCCCAAACACCTCTGGGGGAACAACCTTCTCCTAAAATAATCCATTTTGCTTCTTACTAATCCATCTGATTCTTAATAGACCTGTGCCTTTCACAGGGGAAAAGGAGGAGTGTGGTTAATTGAAACCAACCATTCCCACCCAGCCCTGATTCCTACTTCTCATGTTTTAGGCATTCAGCAACATCCAAGTGAGATTGTGGACCGAATACGTTCTTCTTTAGGCAATAAAACCCCCAAGACATCTGTCATATCTTTTATGACCTGCTCTTAACTCAAGAGTGCTATCCACAGCAGACTGAGCTTATCACTGGAGGCTGGAGACACTGGGGATGTGCTGTCTGCCTTCACACCAGCCAGGGCTGCAGCCTGGGGCTTTTGATGTGTTTTCCAGCCTCTCCTGCCCTAAAGCTCTGAGTTTTACCCCAGAGGGAACATCCTCTGTGCAACATTTGGGCTCTCTCCTCCTGCAGTGACTCTAGCTGACAGGTCCCAGGTGGAACAAATAGAGCTTCTAACACCCTATAACTCTTTTAAAGCTCTTTCATTCTTTCTTCCTTTCTTTCTTCTAGCAAAGATTGTGAAATCATGTTGGAGACATGTCTTTTCCTGGCATGGGGGGACCAAGCTCATGCCTCCATCAGGGATGACTGTCATTGTGCAATCATGTTGGAGACATGTCTCTTCCTGGCATGGGGGGACCCAGCTCATGCCTCCATCAGGGATGACTGTCACCTCCTGCAGGGCAAGGCTGTGGCTACTCACAATAAGCAATAAAATCCACTTATTCCAATTAAAATTAACTCTTTTTCTGCATTCTGGTCCTCTTTTCTGAGCAGGTTAAGTGTAAGATTAGGGCCAGAGAGCACTGGGAAGAGCCTGGAGCAAAGCAGAGGTGTGGAACATCACCACATCTAACCATGCCAAGTGCTGTGCTGCTAGGGAGGATTCCTGCCAGGGGGATGGAGGAGGAGCTCCCAGCTGAGCCTATGAAGAACACAGGGTAAAAAAATTTTACTGAGAACAGAGAAATTTAGAGCTGTTACAAGAAAACATTGCAGCATGAAAGTTGCTTCTAAGTAATGTGGCTGCTCTGGGTAGGAGCAGCTAGTGAGTAACAGACACACCACAGCAGTTTTCCCTTCCCCTAACCAACTCTTATTTTCTAACTTCACTTTCTAGATTAGAATTCGATTTGGGCAACTCATTTGTGCTGGTTGTAGCCCAAGGCAGACCCTGGAGTCATCCCTTTCTCCTTGCACAGTGATCTGCAGGGCTCCTAGTCATTTAACTACCTCCTGCCCCTGTCAAAACAGGGAGTGTCCAGGAATATTGGTCTCATCTGCTGCCAGCCAGCCTGAACTCTTATTGTTATTGCTGTGCTGATTTCAGCTCAAAGGAAGCAAATTCTCAGGCAGATAAGTACTGGGACACAGGCTGCAAACACAGCTGGTTCAGCCCTGCAGGGCAGGGCACTTTCTCCTTCCCAGTAAATATTGCCTTAGGGCACCTGTAACATCCCACAACACAACACAGACATCCTGGGGAGATGCTGAGCAGAGCTCAAAGCCCAGAGGGAGCCCTGGTTGCATCTCTGTGCCCTCACACAGCTCACACACTGGTGAGGACCCAGATGTGTCCAACCCAACCCAATGAGCATCATCAGGGGCTGTGGATAACCCTAGTGCCTTGTGAGAGGCTCAAAAGAGAAGTGATAAGGGAGGGGGAGAACTGCAAATCTCACCAATTAATTAGTGGTGATAACTAGATATGGTTAGAGGTATCTATTGTATATACTATTATTATACACTATTAGATATTGGTGATCTGATATTTCAGTGCCTGTATTCCAGAGGTTTTCCTGAGCTGTTCCCAACTTCAGACTCCAAGGGGAGTTATGAAGATATCTCAATTCCAGCCTTGGCTGCCCTGAGTGGAGTTTGTGCTGTAGGGGAGGGAAGTGAACAAAGTGAGAACCAGTTCTGGAGTCACCAGGAAGAAAAACACAACCCTTAAAAATACACCTTTGTGAAGGTGGTGAGATACTGGCACAGGTTACCCAGAGCAGCTGTGGCTGCTCCATCCCTGGGAGTGTTCCAGGCCAGGTTGGATGGGCTTGGAGCAGCCTGGGCTGGTGGGAGGTGTAGCTGCCCAGAGCAGGAATAGGATGAGCTAATCTTTAAGGTCCTTCCAACCCAAACCATTCTGGGATTCTAAATAATAAACATCAGCCTGATTTAATTCCCAGCTGAGCTAGAGGAGTCTGGGGAGCAGATGAAAGTCCTGAACTTCATCACCACAGAGACAGAAAAGCTTAAAGGATTAACTCCTATCACTTACACATCTTCCTTGTCCAGGAGCCTTACAAGTGGGAGCAGCAACCCCCAGCATCCAAGGAATACAGGGGGCTCAGTCTGGGCCATGGCAGGGCCAGCAAGCAGCTGCTGGGAGTGGGTTTAATGGGACACTAGAGGGTGACTGGTTACCTCTGGGGCAGTAGACATCCGGAGCCCATCGGTTGCACTCGTAATTATCTGCAGCCTTTTCACAGGTGAAACACTTAAATCCCCGAGGATATGGTGTGGCTGAAAGGAATAAACAACGTGGAGTTAAAATGAGCTGATCCATCTGCCTCTGTGATGCTTTTCAGAGGCACACTGCAACTCTTGTTCTCTTTAGATATATCTTTCTGCAGGTAGAGCTGTCAGCCTCAGCAGCTTGGTCCTGACTGGTAAAACCTCTTCACCTCTAGGTACATATGGGCTCATTTCAGCTGTGTTTACCCAGCACAAGTGCTCACTGCTACATCAAAGGGAGTTAATGTGAGCAAGGAGTACTTATTCCCTTGGAATCAGAGCTCACATCCAACACTGCTGCTTTACTGGTGCTGATAACAAAATATCAGATGGATTGAAATACTTCTGGAAACTGTCCCACCAAGGAAAAGAGCTGCTCCTGTTGAATTCAGGCTGATGTCCCCAAAGGGAAGCAAAACCACTTTGCTGAACCTCCAGCTTTTAACAGCAGGCTCTATCCTAATTTATCTCACCAAACAAAGAGCATAACTCCTTAAGTGCTCTCCTGGCAGCACTTCTGGTGCTCATTCAATACATCTTCAAGGTGCTGCCACCTTCTCAGAAGCCAAAGAGTGAACAGGGCACATTTATCCCCACAGGGTGAAGTAAACTGAACCTTCACAGCTCCATGGGCCACATCTCACCTCTCCCTCCTCATCACCTCCTCCCCTTGCTCATCAGCTCTGAGGAGCCCATTTGGCTATGAAAGGTGAAGCAAAAGGTTTTCACTGCTTGTTTCCTTTCATCTGGTTAAGGATCAGCAAGTCACTTGGAACATCTCTGGTGGGGCTGGTGCTGCAAGTCACCTGGAACATCTCTGGTGGGGCTGGTGCTGCCCTCAAGGAACAGCCTAGGGTGGAACAACACACCAGCACTGGTTAAATTCACCCCTCTTACCCTGGACAGGCTGGGATTATAGTGTAAAGCAGGAATTTCATCCTGCTTGGGCAGAACATAGATTTTTCAGCCAAATTCATGTAGTGGGGAGTTTTCTCTGGGAAGAGATGGCAAGTGCTCCCTGCTGATGGAATTCAGTAAGTTTGTGTCTGATGAAGTGAACAGACTAGTGAGAGTCCAGGGAAGATCTAAAGATGAACAACTCTGCTACAGCATTGCTCCAGGAGTTACTGAAATGAAGCCAGGAGCTGTTGGTGTCACAGCTGCTGATGGTGGCATTTGGTCCTATCATAGAATGGCTAGGCCACACAGCTATCATAGAATAATAGAATTTTAGGGGTTGGAATGGAGTTTAGAGATCATCCAGCCCCAACCTCCTGCCCTGGGCAGGGACACCTCCCACCAGAGCAGGTTGCTCAAGGCTCATCCAACCTGGCTGTGAACACTGCCAGGGTTGGGGCAGCCACAGCCTCCCTGGGCAACCTGGGCCAGTGTCTCACCACCCTCACAGGGAAAACTTCTGCCTAATATCTAACCTAAATTTCCCCTCCTTCAATTTAAACCCATTCCCCCTTGTCCTATCACTGCAGCTCCTAACACAGAGTCCTTCTCCACATCCCTTGGAGGCCCTTCAGACACTGAGGTTGCTATGAGGTCTCCACACAACTTTCTTCTATCAATGTGCTTGGTCTCCTGGCCAGAGCCATCACTGAGGAACAGAAAATAGTGAACTAAAGGCAACACACTCAACAGCTGCCTTTAACCCTACCTGTCCTTTAAACCATTTTAGGTCTGGGTTTACATAGAATCATAGGCTGCTTTGGGTTGGAAGGGACTTTAAAGCTCATCTTACTCCAACCCTCTGCCATGGGCAGCGACACCTTCCATTAGACCTTGGTGGTTCTTCCACATCCACTCTGTTCTATGAGATTGGAGATGTGCATTTAATCTTTGCTCAGTTCTCAGCTCAGCTACGATGCCTCTGCTGCCTTACCACACGTTTCACCCTCGTTCCCACAGAGGTGACTCACTGGAAGGGTGGAGGTAGACGATGTCGTTGACGGTGAAGTCGCGCGGGCGCGCGGCCGGCACGGCCAT